TCTCTTCCAGTGGGTACAAGCAGGTCCAATACTCCAACAGTTCTCAAGATGTGTGCAGATGGGTCTGAGACACTCACTCTCCTAGAGGGTGGAGGCAGAACTGGCACAGCAATGTCAGCAGGCCCTGGATTGCTTGGACTGCCACAAAATACCCTGGATATTGCCTATACACCTTTTTGCTCTTCAGACACTGTATGTGATAATTTTCTGTAGTATTTCATTGGAGGCAATGTGAGTTGTTGCTGTTTTTATGATAGGTTTCCCTTGTTCCAAATGCCCATTTATCCTAGTTTGCCATTCAGTAGTTATGATCAAATATTTACCATATATAAATTGAGGGAAATGATGCATTTGGCTTATGGATTACAGTCAAAGGAAGACTATCCATGAATCTGGCGATAGCAGGTAAATCATAGACCCTGAAGAAACAATGCAAATTGACATCCTCTCCCTGCTTTTATCATAAAGCCATGCTGAGGGACAACACTGTCCATTACTGATTTATAAAATGCTTCACAGATAGTCTGAAAAGGAAAATATTTAGCTTAAGCTCTATGTCTTTTTTGAACTGTACTTTTGTAATGTGGTCACACAGTGGGGGTATATGAAATTTCCTCTTTAATATCTAAATATTATATTAATACAGTTATGAGAGTTGTAGGTAACTCTTCTGATATCACCATATGTCTAAATTTCCTCAGATGCCACCCTCTGTGTGTAGTGTTGATTGTGGTCCTGGATTCAGAAAATTCAGGCAGGAGGGAATGGCAGTCTGCTGTTTTAAATGCAGACCCTGCCCAGAAAATGAAATCTCTAATGAGACAAGTGAGTATTTGCATCAGTTATGAAACTTCCTTTAGTCCTGCCTCCAAACCCTCACACTGGGATGATGAAGGGGGCTAAAATGTAACTGCACAAACATAATATATTATTTTCCTAAGTTATGCTTTGAAGGAATATGATCATTAACTATATCCCTGTGTAAAACTCATGCCTTTACCCATATCTTGGCTCATAGAGACTATGACTGCTATGGATTAGAAGTATCCAGCAAGGTCATTCAATGACCTCCTAAAAATGCTGTTTTTTTAATGTTTCTTCTGTACATGCAATCAAAATATCCTGCCAATAAAAGTGTTGACTGTGAACTGACGATTCATTACTCTCTGCTTCAGATGTGGAACAGTGTGTGAAGTGTCCAGAGCATAAGTTTGCCAACATAGATCAGAACGAGTGCATTGATAAAGCAGTGATATTTCTGAGCTATGAAGACCCTTTGGGGATGACACTTGCTTTAATGGCCCTGTGCTTCTCTGCATTCACAGCTCTGGTTCTTGGAGTGTTTCTCAAGCACCATGACACTCCCATTGTGAAGGCCAATAACAGGAAGCTCAGTTACATCTTGCTCATCTCACTCTTCTTTTGTTTTCTCTGCCCCTTGCTCTTCATTGGCCATCCAAACTCAGCTACATGCATGTTGCAGCAAATCACATTTGGAGTTGTATTCACTGTGGCTGTTTCCACTGTGTTGGCCAAAACAGTTACTGTGATTCTGGCTTTCAAAGTCACAGCCCCTGGAAGAAGAATGAGATACTTGCTGGTTTCAGGGGCCCCTAACTACATCATTGCCATCTGTACTCTCATCCAAGTTATTATCTGTTCAGTCTGGTTGGGAACTTCTCCTCCCTCTGTTAATATTGATGACACCTCTGAGAACGGCCACATCATCATTGTGTGCATCAAGGGTTCTGTCATTGCCTTCTACTGTGTCCTGGGATACCTGGCCTGCCTGGCTCAGATGAGCTTCACTGTGGCTTTCTTCTCCAGGAATTTGCCTAACACATTCAATGAAGCCAAGTTCCTGACATTCAGCATGCTGTTGTTCTGCTGTGTCTGGGTCACTTTCCTCCCAGTGTACCATAGTACCAAGGGTAAGGTCATGGTAGCTGTGGAAATTTTCTCCATCTTGGCTTCCAGTGCTGGCATGCTGGGATGCATCTTTGTACCCAAGTGTTATGTAATTTTGTTAAGTCCAGCAAGTAAAATCTCTTCAAAATATCAGGGAAAAAGAATCTTCCAGAACTGATATTTCATTAAATAACTGACAAATGTATATTTAGATCATGGCCACCAAATACTGAATTACGTGCAAACCTACCTCTTTTAGAATGATGCTCTCTGGCTCCTCTAATGACATTGCCTCACAATATTGTGTCTATTACTGATGCTTCCTATAATCTTTCACTCAGTTACTGATTTCATAAGACCTCTGTATTTATCTATACAGTGGAGTGGAAATATCTTTTCTGCTCTAAAATACAAAACTTCAAAATATATGCAATGTTCTTTTTTAAATTTTGGAGTGAATGAATGACTTTGATGGTACCTGAGTGATGAGAGAATAATACAAGATATGACTGAGAGAGTGAACTTCAGTTTGCAGACAGACTTAAAGCAATGTTCCTTAAAGTTTTCACTGACAAAGGAAGAGTGAAGGCCAAAGAGGTCAAGACCATGTTTTGGAAACCCACACAAATACCTTACATGAGCATATAGGAGCTCAAGGACCCCAGTCAGTCACGTGGAGAACCAGCATAGGACCTAACCAGGCCCACTGAATGTGGGTGTTACTTTGGGAGTCCTGGACAGACTATGGGGCCTCAGGCACTAGATCCAGTATTTAGCAATAGTGCAACAATGGGCAATGGAATCCCACTCCCTAAGGAAGGATATTCTCTCATCCTGGATAACAGGGAATGACTGAGGTCCTGCCCCAAATGCTGTGACAGACTTTGATGATTCTACTGAGGTCCTGCCTCAAATGATGTGACAGACTTTGATGATTCCCAGTGGGAGGCTTCACCCTCCTTAGGTTGTGTATGTGGTATGTAATGGGTGTTGGTTTAGGACACGGGAGAACAGAAGGGAGAGGGAATTGGGATTGGTATAGAAAAGTTTCTTTTCAATTAAATAAAAATTCATAAAAAAACAAAATGTTCCTCCTTGGGAGGGGAGGCAGGGGAAGATCCTGATGCATCCTATGAGTTAGAAGAGTAAAACATAGAAGAAAGAGGGATGTTTTGATAAACTT